TACTTGTAGAATCAACCTGCACCAGGAAAAACCCGAGTGTTGACAATACTTTTGGATCTATGTTCTATTCCGGGCGTGAGTGGGTTTGATGGTTTTGGATTGAAATTGATGCTTATGCATGTTTAAAGTTGAAGTTTTATATCATGTATGTATGATATATGATGTATGGTGAAGTGTAATTCATATGTATGCTTGGTAATGATATATATGAATGTTTAAATATGATATGGCATGAGTATATGTTCATATGAGTATGATTATTGATCATAATGGTGGGCAGACCATGTATGATGTATGATGCATTATTGCATGTGATGCCTTATGGCATGTGTATGATTATTGATCATAATGGTGGGCAGACCATGTATGATGTATGATGCATTATTGCATGTGATGCCTTATGGCATGTGTATGATTGTTTGAGCATAATAAAAAAAAGGCTTTAATCGCAAGTTGAATCATACATAAATAACTAATTAAATAATACCAAGTCTGGAAAAGGATACTACATAACTAACTCAACATGTCAATATGCTAGTTATAACCTCAAAATAAAAACATAATAAAATAAATCTAACATCATGTTCTACGAAACAACTGAACAATTCAAATAACAAATCCTAACCACGCTCTAATTCACATATCCTATTAAAGCACTCTCACTCAAGGACTATGCCTCATCACCAATATCATCAACATCTTGATGAGTCTCACCTACAACAATATACATACAAAAGAAAACACAATAAACGAGGAGTAAGAAATATCTCACTCTGCCTCACCACATAGAATAATTTGTTTTTGTGTTGTATGGAGCCTATGCATTGTGTTTTTGTGTTTGCATGTGGCTGGATTTGTTGGTTTGGATGAGAGTTTTTGAACTCTCTAGGATTAGGTCGGGCGCAGGTTAAGCGCGCCGGGCGTAGGTTAAGCGCGCCGGGCGTTGAAGAACTTAGGGCTCTTGGGTTGGATGTTAGGCTGGGCGTGATTTGGTTGCGCCGGGCGTGAGTGGGTTTGATGGTTTTGGATTGAAATTGATGCTTATGCATGTTTAAAGTTGAAGTTTTATATCATGTATGTATGATATATGATGTATGGTGAAGTGTAATTCATATGTATGCTTGGTAATGATATATATGAATGTTTAAATATGATATGGCATGAGTATATGTTCATATGAGTATGATTATTGATCATAATGGTGGGCAGACCATGTATGATGTATGATGCATTATTGCATGTGATGCCTTATGGCATGTGTATGATTATTGATCATAATGGTGGGCAGACCATGTATGATGTATGATGCATTATTGCATGTGATGCCTTATGGCATGTGTATGATTATCACCAAAAACCTCATTTTTCCCAAAACCCCGAAAAATGAGCGAATTCTCTGATCCAACCATGGATCCTCGACTTTCATGCATCAATTGAGTTTCTAAACTTACATGCAACCTAAACAACAAACATTCTAGCTTCTCTTACCTGAAAATTGGCTCAAAATAGCCAATAATTGAGAAGAAGTAGAATTTCCTTCCAAAGTTCAACCCGGAACTTCAATCCTCCCAAAGCAAGCTTCCTAGTCTATGCTTATGCATGTTTAAAGTTGAAGTTTTATATCATGTATGTATGATATATGATGTATGGTGAAGTGTAATTCATATGTATGCTTGGTAATGATATATATGAATGTTTAAATATGATATGGCATGAGTATATGTTCATATGAGTATGATTATTGATCATAATGGTGGGCAGACCATGTATGATGTATGATGCATTATTGCATGTGATGCCTTATGGCATGTGTATGATTATTGATCATAATGGTGGGCAGACCATGTATGATGTATGATGCATTATTGCATGTGATGCCTTATGGCATGTGTATGATTGTTGATCATGATGGTGGGTAGACCATGTATGATGTATGATGCATTATTGCATGTGATGTCTTATGACATGTGTATGATTGTTGATCATGATGGTGGGCAGACCATGTATGATGTGTGATGCATAATTGCATGTGATGCCTTATGGCATGAGTCTAGCTTAGGACTTGAGAGGAAAAATATTTTCGAACTAGAAGAGCTCATGTAGAGTCTCTTGAGAGTGGTGCTCTTATTTACAAAAATGCCACCAAATTTAATTTCTACATCAGTTTTACCTAAACCGATGTAGAATTGACGACGTTAAATAATAACTTTCTAGTAGTGCAAGAAAATATTTTATCAACATCAAAATGAGACAGTAAAAAAGATATCTTTTAATTTTGACTATGGGTATATAAAAAAATAAAAATAAGAAAGATGGATAATTTATATACGATATCAACTTTTTTATGTCCAAATAATAAAACTCTATACCAATGTGAGTTAAAAAGGATTTGGAGTTAATTCTCCCTCTCCTTACATATGTGAGTTACATTCTTCTTTCAATGACTAATTGGAGCAATTAGATAAAACTACCTATGATTTTAAGTCTATATAGTAATTCTTTAAAATGTTCTTTTGACAAATCCGACGTGTCATTGATACTTAACGCTATGATTCAATCCTATATAACAATAATAGTAGAACTCTTACAACAGTATAACAAAATTGATTGTTTATTCATATAATTAAGTTCTGGTCTTGAACCAGATATTGCTTGCAAGTCTTACAAATTTTCCTTTGGCTAGCTAAGTGCTAAGTGAAAATCCATGGAAGGAATATCTTATGCATCTAAGGAAACAACAAGGACACTACATGCCAATTCACTGTTTGGATCTATTTAGTTTTTGCACAAACCTAGTGAGTGAGGTTTTTCAATCTATTGAATCTCTAAAGTTGCAAAAGACAAAAGAAAACAGTAGAAGTAGCAGATAACATCAAAATTAAAATAGGGGAGAATATAGTGGGTGATATGATATTATATGGACAACGCAATAGGTCCAAACAAACAGAAAACCTTTGTACAAAAAGTGCAACTCTCTCCACTGCTTCCCCTTCTTTTAATAGATTTTGGGTAAAGTTGTTTGTCATTTTGGAACCGAATTACCTTTGCTGTCTTTCAAGGTTTAACTTTCAATTTTATTTAATTTTTTTTACCTTGGATCTTCATTCTTTGATCGCTTTTCAGCACAAACAATTTGAATTTCAAAGCCATACTACTTTAATTTTTTGTGTGAACATATTGGATTTTTCTTGCCCCTAGTACAAGAACTTTGAATGATTTGTCACACATATATGGTGTATTCAGTGTCAAGATCTTGTGTTAAATTCAGTGTTTCAAATTTCAGTTCCTCAATCATAGATTAATAATACATGAGTGTTTTGTTTTTTTCTCCTTAGGACTCTTCGAAAACCATTGCATTCTGAGTTAATTTTGGCATCCGCTAATTTTAGTGTTCCACACAAGCATTTCATCGTTGGGCCAACTAAAATAATTATTATATAAATGCAGAAAGAAAAAGAATCTTATATTCATTTATGGTAACCAACAAACACTTTAATTCATACTACCTTCTTATCCCTTTGAATTTAAGCACCACTTTTTTGTTTCTCGTTTTAAAAGCGGTGTGATTTGATTTAAAGCACAAGTATTACGAAATAACCTTGTTTTACAAAAGGGGAATTAATATGAATGATCAAAGCTATATATAATTTAAGAAGCCGATCAATCGTACACCCCAATCCTTTTTCCATCACTTGTGGCCCAACTGTTCCACTCCATTGAATGCCATCACATCTCATCATGGTGACCGTAGCAAGCAAAATCAATCTGTCTGCATGCAATGTCGTTTTAATTTGGTTTCATTTCAGGATCAAAAGGTATATTTAAGCAAGCACCCTTGTCTTTTATTTATTTTATTTATTTATTTTTTATTATAATATATATCCTAATTCCGCAATCAACCCAACCAAAGAGATAGTGGAATTTTGTCCCGGTTTTTCCCTTTAGGAAATGGCAGGGGGCAAGTTGGACCCAATTTTTTTAATTTCACATGCATCTATGTCTCTTAGTTATGACACACCAACCAGAGATACCACAGTGCCAACGTAACGTAATTCTCTAATTCTAACCATGTCAAACCTCACCTGACCTAGGTATGGTAGATAGATTGGCCATCCCAGGAAAAGGGTTTGGCCACTTACCCAAGATGAAGGTGAATCTGCTACAACAGTTTCAACCACCACAATACAGTTTCACTTAAATCGTAACAAACCAATCTTTTCTAACGTGTGTCACGTGCATAACTTACTTGGGCTCCTTTCTGAAATGCCAAACTAGAACGTCCATGCCAGAATTCCCATTTAGGACTATCCCTGACCCTTTGAATGCAATGCAACCATACTTCAAAGCATGGTCCACACTACACAACCAGTTATAGTGGGTTAACGCCAAGTTGATGAGCCTTGAACCCATTTTGAACTTGTCATTTTCCAAGGAGGCAACTCTTGCATTTCCTTGTTCAATTACTTGAACAAACTTTAAAATATTAGAAATGTTGAATTAGTTGGACACCGAATATAAAATACCTATTTCTAGTTTGAAGTACGAAAACTTTATGATAAATTTTCTTCTCGTTCTCATTTATGTATGTATATACCACTATACAATCATGATTTTGATGGGCTATAATTATAAAGATTCCTCTCCACGTACAAATGTAATTGTGAGTTCTTTTATTCATAGATATAAGAAAGTAATTTTCCAACCTAAATCTAATGATATTTCATTTATTTATGCCATATAACGAGATTACGTCCATAAAGTTTATTGTTGTGGCTCTAAAATTTCAAAGTTCTTTCGGTGCTTCTGTCCTCTCTGGTTTTCATAGTGTTATAAACCATGTACACATTTCTTTCTTTAATAGCAAACCCGAGTGTGTCATTGCATGTCCTTTTCACTCTCCTTGATGGTACCCCCATAAAAAACAAGACTTTCTCACGATGTTTACACTGTTCCCCGGTGCAGAATCAGAACAGCAACAGGCTGTACCATAAAACAAGTGCTACATGATGAAGACAAAGACTTTATATAAGAAAATACTCCAACCAATCCTACTGTACAAATTACAAAACCATTAAAGAGATAGAAAAATTCAAACATTAACAACTTAAATAAGAAAACCCCACCCCAAGTGAAAAACTAAAGAACGCAAGTAGCTAAGCTATCACAACCCAAAGGAAACAAATGTGAAACACACACCCCATCCCCCAACTTAGAGCATCAAATGCTAAGAAGATCGGGTGGTGGCGACTGAGGAGGATGTTGATTATCTTTAGGTTCCTTAGATGCCGTGGTTGGAGACTCTAAACTGTTTGATGATGACAAAGATGTCTCCGTAATTGTCAAGTCTCCCTGTTTTGAGTTTGGTGGCTTTGGAAGCTCGGTCAGAATTTGAACAACTTCACGCATAGTTGGTCGCTCCACTGCTTGTTCCTCAACACACAGCATGGCTACATAGAAAACATGCATCACCTCGTGAAGTGGAACTGAAGGAAGTCTTGGATCAAGAACTTTTAGAACTCCTTCCTTGTTTGAGTCTGTCATTTTCCTCACCCATTGCACAATGTCCACACCATCACCAAATTCCCCAACAGGTTTCCTTCCTGTTACAAGCTCCAGAAGAACCACCCCAAAGCTGTACACGTCGCTTTTCTCATCAACTTTCAACGTGTAGGCATACTCTGCAGCCAAAATCTCAACATAAATCATTGGCCATAAACAAAAATAAAAAACAGCCACATTAATCAGACACAATTAAGAGAAAGTCACTACTGTATAGCAATACCGTATGTGATTAAACCAAAGGAAATTTAATTCGGCGTACAGGGTGCCAATTAATAACCATCTGTTTTCAACTGTGAACATGTCTAACCTACAACTACATAACTTAGCCTAATTATAGGTTGGGGGCTATGATCAAGACTTAATGGGCACAGTTAGCTACAATTTGCTTGAAGTGGTAGTAGCTAATTAAAAGCATACTAATTAGATGACAATTGATTAAAAAATAGTCAAGGTGGCAAGGCAACATAACATGTTAGCATTTAGTATTAATTAATCAGGCACACCAAACAGAAAAATCTACAGTTCACTCCTACTCGCCTAAATCAATGATGTTGAGTGAAACGAGACAAACTCCGACCGTGAAGGATTCTAGATGGAAATAAGGCTGAAATAAAGTCTATTAGTGACATTAGTTCAACACATAAATCATCAATTATGTTGAATTTCAATATCTTACCTGGAGCTATGTATCCATAGGAACCGGCAATAGCAGACATGCATTCAGATGTTCCAGAATCTTGCAGGAACTTAGCGAGCCCAAAATCAGCCACATGTGCTTCAAAATTGGAATCAAGAAGGATATTGTTGGACTTAACATCTCGATGGACAATTAGTGGTGAACAGTCATGGTGTAAGTAACAAAGGCCCTTGGCAGCCTCCACAGCAATCTTATACCTTGTGTCCCAATGCAAGTGCCCCCCTTTCTTGCCATGAAGAACCTCACCTAAACTTCCATTAGGCATGTACTCGTACACCAAGAGATTAGTCTCATGGTTTGAACAGAACCCCAAAAGCCTAACAATGTGTCTGTGACGAATCCTCCCCAGAGTCTGAATCTCCGCATTGAAACCATGATCATGGGAAGACCCTCTGCTCATGGCGGGCAACCTTTTCACAGCAACGTTGTCCCCATTCGGCATCGCCCCTTTGTAAACAATGCCGGCACCCCCTTTTCCAATTATGTTGTCCTCCTTCAAGCAATCCAAAACATCGTCAACAGTGAAGTCCAAACGCTGGAAAGCAGTTAATTTCCACGCACGTGCTTCACTGGCCTTTTTCAAAGACCGTGCTTTGATTATTGCTGCAACAGCAAATGCAATGGAGCACACAAGCAACCCAATAACTAACAATAGTTTCAAGGAAGAAGATAGAGGGCCTTTCACATGAGGCTGGCGAGGGCCATTGGCAACCCCGTCTTTACAAGGACCCAAATAAGGACCACAGAGTTCAGGGTTCCCTAAGAAAGAAGTGTAGTTAAAGTAACCGAATTGCCCGGTTCCCGGAACCAAACCAGAGAGATTGTTGTAGGAGAAATCGACAGAAGTTAAACTCTGCATAGAGGCAATGGAGGCTGGAATGGACCCAACTAGATGGTTCCTGGAAAGGTTTAAGTAATTCAAAATCCGCATGGAAGTGATCTGGTTTGGAATCTCATCAGAGAGGTCGTTGCGGCTGAGATCAACGAAAGTCAAAAGCTTGCACTGGCTGATCTCAGGGGCAATGGGGCCCGAGAATTTGTTGTGGCTAAAATCAATTTTTGAAAGCTGTTGCAGCTTGCCAATCTGGGGAGGGATTGGACCGGAGAACTTGTTGCCGTCAAGGAGAAGCTTCTGCATGCTGGTGAAGTTGCCAATGGAGGGTGGCAAGGGCCCAGAAAGCTTGTTATTGGAGAGACTAATCTGGCCCAGATTAACAGCAATGGAAGCAGCCTCGGGAAACTGGCCCGTGAGAAGATTGTCCTGAAGCTCAACCTGGGTCAGCTTCGGAAGCCCAAAGAGGCCCGTCGGAATAGAACCGTTCAGAAAATTCTCCCCCATGCGAATCCTACTCAGAGACTCACACTTGCCCAGCGAATCAGGAATAGGACCAAACAGAAAATTCCCCAGCGTTATAAGCGTCTGAAGACGGTTCCCGTTGCACATATCCGGAGGAAGAGTCCCGGTCAACTTGTTCGACGAAAGGTCAACGAGAGTAAGCTTTCCGTTTCTCCCCAAGCTCTGCGGAATGCTCCCGGTGAAGTTGTTCTCCCAAAGCTGCAACACCTCCAGCGCCGGTAACTCTCCCACAAACTCGGGAATCGCGCCGTGGAGCTTGTTCCGGAAGAGGTTCAGC